CTGTAGACCCAGGACTGAGGCTGTAGACCCAGGACTGAGACTGTAGATCCAGGACTGAGGCTGTAGACCCAGGACTGAGGCTGTAGATCCAGGACTGAGGCTGTAGATCCAGGACTGAGGCTGTAGACCCAGGACTGAGGCTGTAGACCCAGGACTGAGGCTGTAGACCCAGGACTGAGGCTGTAGACCCAGGACTGAGGCTGTAGATCCAGCACTGTAAACCCTGACAAGTAAAGTTTACTTGAAAAAACCATGGAAATAAATTGCGTATTAACTTCACTTGAATTCCTCGAGTACATAGTTTACTTGATATTACCAAGTAAACTCAGGTGATTGCAATAAAGTTTAAATTTCTGCTCCGACCGGGATTCGTACTCAGAACCCTGTAGTTGAGAGGCAATGGTGCTACCCACTCAGCCACCAAGACACCCTGCCATTGTCACACCTGCCTCATTAACTCATTGACTGCCCAATCCAGTCTTTCAGAATCTGGTTTCATATTTCACATGGTCATAGCACATAATATTCTGTGGGTTTTGAGATTCAGTGAAATCATCAAAAACGGCTGGCAGTCAATGAGTTAAAGACAATACACATCAAAATGTCAAAAACGAGGCTTACTTGAACAGAAACAGTTCAATTCAAAGAAAACCCTGAGTGACATAGGCAAGCTTTAAATGAACTAACAATAAATGAGTAATATCTACTTACTGGGAAAAATCTATTTAAAATAACTTGATATCTGAAGTAGGATGGAAGTTAGGGTTTACAGTGAGGACTGAGACTGTAGACCCAGGACTGAGGCTGTAGACCCAGGACTGAGGCTGTAGATCCAGGACTGAGGCTGTAGATCCAGGACTGAGGCTGTAGATCCAGGACTGAGGCTGTAGATCCAGGACTGAGGCTGTAGACCCAGGACTGAGGCTGTAGACCCAGGACTGAGGCTGTAGACCCAGGACTGAGGCTGTAGACCCAGGACTGAGGCTGTAGACCCAGGACTGAGGCTGTAGACCCAGGACTGAGGCTGTAGACCCAGGACTGAGACTGTAGATCCAGGACTGAGGCTGTAGATCCAGGACTGAGGCTGTAGATCCAGGACTGAGGCTGTAGATCCAGGACTGAGGCTGTAGACCCAGGACTGAGGCTGTAGACCCAGGACTGAGGCTGTAGACCCAGGACTGAGGCTGTAGACCCAGGACTGAGGCTGTAGACCCAGGACTGAGACTGTAGATCCAGGACTGAGGCTGTAGATCCAGGACTGAGGCTGTAGATCCAGGACTGAGGCTGTAGATCCAGGACTGAGGCTGTAGAGCCAGGACTGAGGCTGTAGACCCAGGACTGAGGCTGTAGACCCAGGACTGAGGCTGTAGACCCAGGACTGAGGCTGTAGACCCAGGACTGAGGCTGTAGACCCAGGACTGAGGCTGTAGACCCAGGACATGTCTTCTCTCTGCTGCCATCTGGAGGCTGCATCAAGGCACATAAACTGAAGGATAACTGATGATTGTCCCTTTTGTTTTATTTGTTTTATTTTACTATTTAATGCTCTTAGTGAGAAACAAACAAGTAGCATTAACAGAAGTTCAATCTGAAAAGTCTCCAGACAAAGATTGCATTAGATGGATAAATATTTGCAACGGAAGCTGAGCAGATAAAATGACAACACTGAAGAGGCGGTGTCGGGGAGGAGGAGGGTTGTCCCACAAACGAGTCCAGGACTGAGAGGCTCTAAATGCAGCAGTGACTGATGCTGTTGATGTGTAGCACTTAGCACATGTCTCCCAGTCTGAATTTACACTTTAGCAGCATTAGCATTAGCATTGGTAGTTCTACGTTAGCGTTAGTCATAGTAGCATTAACAGTAGCAGTAGTTGTTCTTACCCTTAGTAGCAGTTGTACAAGCAGCAGCAGCAGCAGCAGCAGCAGTAGCAGCAGCAGCAGTAGTAGTAGTAGCAGAACCCATCCATCCATCCATTTTCTTCCCCTTAATCCATTTCTGGGTTGGGGGGGTGGCAGTCAGAGCTGCACCAGCCCCTCACTGATCCTCCTGCAGGTGGTGAGTCCACAGGAGCTGAGATCTTTCAGTGGGAGCTTCAGGCAAAGTGGGCATTGTGCGTTTGTTGTTCCACTTTGAAGCAGAGGGGTTGGGGGCGTGAGGGGCTGGACTGGTCAGACTGGGGGGTCAAGGTCAAGTTTAACATGTGTATGTCTGTGTCTGTCTGTGTGTTTGTGTGAGTGTGTGTGTGCATGTGTATGTGCATGTGTATGTGTGTGTGTGTCTGTGTGTGTGACCGTGTGTGCACGTGCACTATGTCTGTGTGTGTGGTCTAGGTACGTGTGTGTTTGCATGTGTATGTGTGTGTCTGTCTGTGTGTGTTTGTGTGAGTGTGTGTGTGCATGTGTATGTGTATGTCTATGTGTGTGTGTGTGTGTGTGTTTTCAAGTTCAAGTGCGCCGTGAGACAGACGCCTCTTAATCCTCACGTGAAGGGAAACAAAACATAACAAGAAAATAGACAAACAAAATAATACATTTGTTGCATTTGATTCAGGTTTAGATCTGAAGAGTTCTGTGATGTCACGTGACAACATCAGCAAACTTTAACTTATTCAAACTAACAATAACAAAATCACAGCGATTGAAAAAAAATGAGTGCGTCATTTTTACCACCAAAATAATCCTACACCTTTTATTATAGAACATTTAAAATGTATCAGAAAAAGCACAACAAAAAGGTGCACGTTTTTTTTCTAATTCAAGACAGAAACGCTTTTTCCAATCCAGTCCTATTTAAATGTATGGCACAAATCATTTAATACCGTTATAATGTAAACAGTGGATTCAGTAAATACTTCACAGTGATTTTTTAGATAATGAAACTAAACATCGTGTTCAGCATTTCAGCATTTTTTTTTTCCATTTCTCCCCAAGCCCGCGTGACGCAGGATCCAGTGCGTAACGCGCCGTAACAAAATATAAATGTATAAAACTAATCAAAATGGCGGAACACTCGGAGCTGTTCTTCGCTGATGCAGAAGGATCTAAGTCTAAGGACAGTGTTGATCCCGCTCCAGGACCAGTGGCTCTAATGTGGTTGTTATTATTATATGTGTCTGATCTGGTTTGATTCTCTGATCTGGTTTGAGCAAATTAAATGTTGTGCACAAATACACACAGTTGAAAACATCTCGTTTGTAAACAGGATTTTTGCAATTTGGGGAAATATCTAGTATGTCTGTTTAGCTCCAAAATTAATATTGACAGAAATAATGACATAAAATACGTCAGGATTGAGATCAATAATGAACCAAATGGAAAAAATATATTTTGAGACGCATCAAAGACGGGTTTATTTGATTAAGTTTCTCACTTTACTTTCGTTTTTGTTAAAAGCTTCAAACAAATACAACATCTCACATTTTTCTTTTTCTTTTTAGAAGATCCTGAATATTGACAAAATGATCCGTGATGCTTTAACGTGATTTATATTCTCTCCTGTAATATTCACATTATGTATTTTTTATGACGTGCAAATTGGAAACGTTTATTTTGCGGTATATTCTCTAAAAACAGAGCGTTCCAAAATTAAATTAAGTGTATTTGTGTTTGACCTAAATTAGCTGTGATTTAGTCCTAAACGTATATAGTTTTAGTTCTAAATGACAACAGCAGCACCTCAGAGGACTTTACAAAGTTGTAGTTTCGCTCCGAGAATTCAGACCGGTTTGAAGGAACAGGAGATGCAATAATAACATACACCGTTGATCCAAAGGGAGCGGGATGTTGTCCTCAAATATTAATAAATGTCTTTTATGTCCTGGATCATGACTGCCCTTAGACCTGCAGCTTCAGAGACGAACCATGAACTACTGCGGAAAAGTGAGACAGAGGCCCGTGAAGAGATCCGCTCCAACGGAACTATTTCAACACAAAAATAAAGATTAGCACCAGTTTCTCCGCAGTCACACATCCACATGGTGCGTGCATGACTGAGGCGCGTGTAGCTGTCTGCTCGTGCCCGTGCGCGTGTGTGTTTGGTCTCTTTTAAGCACCGGGTTTGGGCTGATGTGGTCTCGAGAAGGCGCTCTGGTTTTACGCACGAGAATGAGCTGAACAAATAAACACGACAACTACAATTAACTGTTTACACAATGGTCACGGAGAGGAGCAGAGGGCACGCGGACACACGCGGACACACGCGGACTCACGGGCCTCTGCCGTGGTCGTTAAGTCACTCATGTCCGGGCCCATGACGTGAGGCAACTGCGACTCTTTCAGAGTTTGGGCTGAAAAGTAAAAGTCTCCTCCTCTTATGATTTTGAGAATGTGTACGAGCGGGTGCGGGGCTGGTGTTTGGCAGCGCGGATTATGGCTCATAACAGTCTGTAATCTGTGCTTTTACACCGTTTACACCGGGACCGGAGCGTAACGAGAGAGCGGCATTTACGGCGCTTTAAACGGACAGAGCTGAACTTAAGGCTGAACAAGTCACTACTACTAATGCACACACACTAGACACGCAAACACACATCCACAACTGCACACAGACGCACACACACACACACACACACACACACACACACACACACACACACACACACACACACACACACACACACACACACACACACACACACACACACACACACACACACACACACACACACACACACACACACACTGGACTCGCGCTCCGCAGCCAAAGTCTTCCGCGTCGTGTCTCGTTAAAGCCAGTTTGATTGACAGTCCTCGTCTGAACTTCTCTCTGCGGGTTTTTCTCTTGTCAGTCACGTGACTGGCCGGTCTCATCCAATGGCCAGGCGCGCCTCCTCCTGTGCCCGGGGCGTTGCGTCAGGCTGCGGCTGCATAACGGCGCATGCAGCGGCGCGCACCGGACTCTGCTCTGCTTATGTAGAAGTACACGTACCGGGAGGAGGACACATGAGGCTCACGCAGAGGCTCACGCAGAGGCTCACGTAGACGTGTGAGCGGACTGCCCTATGAGCGCCCCGCTCGTGCTCAGCCCTCGCTGGCACGCGGACACCGTGATGTTTGTGTACGACAACAACCGGGACGAGCTCAACAAGAACATGGAGGCGACACACGCGCGTAACCTGCTCAGCGGACACGTGCACTCCTCTGCAGGCGGCCTGGTGCACTCCTCTGCGGGGGGGCTCATGCACTCGTCTGGGGGGCTGGTGCACTCCTCTGGGTACCCTTCCGTGGAGGTGTCGGTGTCCGGCTCCGGGGACAACGCTGTGACCGGGAAGCAGTGTGCGGCTCCGTGCTCCGCGGTGCCGCAGAGCGCCTCCGCCCCCGCGCTCTCCTACGGATACTTTGGAAACGGCTACTACCCGTGCCGCATGAGCCGCGGGGCCCTGAAGTCCTGCCCTCAGGCCGCGGGCTCCCAGTACATGGACACCGCCTCCTCCGAGGACTACTCTGTGAACCAGCGGGCCAAGGAGCTGGCCTTCTACCACAGCTACCCCGCGCCGTACCAGTCCATGGCCAGTTACCTGGACGTGTCCGTGGTGCAGACGCACGACACGCTGCTGCCTGTGGACACGTACCAGCCCTGGGCCCTGACCAACGGCTGGAGCCCGCAGATGTACTGCAAGGACCAGGGCCCGCAGCTGTGGAAGAGTGCACTGGCAGGTACTAGTGTGTGCGTGTGTGTGTGCGTGCGTGCGTGTGTGTGTGCGTGCGTGTGTGTCTAGGTGCGTGTGCGCATGTGCGTATATGTCAGTGTGCGTAAAGCTGCGTAAAGACTGCTCCAGGACACCGCGTGGACCCTTAATTAATTCATTAAGACAGAGGTCACGTGACTGCTCGTGAACCGCGGCCCTGAACCAGATCCAAACCAACAACAATCTGCGGCTCGGCTCTGACAGCTGGACTTTATTGGTCAGACCCAGAATTTAAAAAACGCCAATAAACAAAGTGTTTTAAATATAACAATATCTAAAGTCCTGACACAGTTTAATGACGCAGAGACGCGCATTCTCCGCGCGTGAAAATAGCACCGCGTTTACGAGCCCGTTATTAACATTACTTTAATATTTATTAACTACTTCTACATTTATGGTTTAGGCTAAATTAGCCGCGCCAATAAACTGACATTACATTTAAACCCCAAATTACAAACCCTCTAATGAACTTTAATCTTTAATCTACTGAAGCGCGACTCAAAATATAAATATATGTTTTATTATTTAGCAACAGGTTTTATCCTTTTTTTATGAGACATTTCCGACCACACTTGACTCAATTAGCTGTTGTTCACTTCAGCCTCTTTATGTGTGTGTGTGTGTGTGTGTGTGTGTGTCTGTCTGTGTGTGTGTGTTTGTGTGTGTGTGTTTGTGTCTGTCTGTGTGTGTGTGTGTGTGTGTCTAAATTATAGGCTTTATAATGTGTGTGAAATTGCCTCATTCCTTCCTTCCGCTTTTTACTGTTATTATTAAATGACTCCTGCATGTTTCACCTTTAAAACCACAATTTATTTTTTTCCTCAATAATTCTCACTTAGTTTGATACAAATAAGATCATAAAATAATTCTACAAATGTGTCTAATTATGAATGGTAACAATAACAGGCTGTAGTCGCACAAACAAAGACGTATTCAGAATTTTACGTTCGCTTCACTTCCTCACGCGCTACATTAAAAAAAACAAAAAAAACACACAATAAACTTACAGATATATATCAAGATTTTCTCATATTTTGAACCATATATTTTCTCCACTTTTGAACTAAACTCTCTGGTCTTTTTTGACGAACACGTAACACCAGAAATTGCCAATTGGGAGGCTTCACAGTCTTGATGATCCACCCGGAAGTAGAAAATCCTCCTATGATACACCTTTAAAGAAGAACACAGATATATTGCACTGATATTTACCCGATTCTCCCAAATCTATAACGTTTTACGGAGGCGCGGTCACGGGTCCTGCTCGTTCACGCTGTAGTCCGTGCGTGTGACCTAGTTTCAGAATCACAGACCGAGCCGCGTCCTCAGCGCTGAAAACACTGTGGAAAAGGACTTTAATACAGGTCTACGCATAGATATAACCAGTAATAATTAATCACAAGCAATTTAAGAGAGATGAAGATATCCTTTATTTGTCCCACAGTGGGGAAATTTCAGTGTTGCATCAAGTTATAGAACAGTAGGTAGTAGTAAGAGCAGCACACGGCACACGTTACCTGAACAATAGCTATACTAATTAAAATAAAACAAAATATCTAACTCTAGCATTAATAATAAGTATAAAATCTCTACCAAAGGTGCAAAATATAACAAAAATAATAACAGTTATAGATGTTCAAGAATTGGAGGAAGAAGAGGTTAAAGTCAGTGATGAAGAAGCAGCTGCTATTGTCTCTTTATACTGTATATAATTATATCCTACACAGACTATACTTTAAAAAATATATATATTTTACACTTCTGTCTTTTGCGCAGTCTGAGTGATTCTATCAAATGTGACGTGTGCATTTCTCCATCAGAGATCAATAAACTGTGTCTTATTTTTAAAACTTATTTAATCTCGCCCCTAATTCTGTCTCTTCAGTCGTTACAGAGAAAAAGCTACTTTAAAGCAGCACAGACTGAAAAATCTTAAACATCTCGATCAAAAGCAAAAAGGTTTGAAAATGTCAACAAAGATTCAGATTCATTTATTTGCCATTTGCAGTAAAACCACATTGGAAAAACTGTGCAAGACTACCCCAGTGTGCAGCAGAGCGGACGGCACACACACAGCTCTTGCCACAAATGTAAACGCAGTGAGAGCAACACAACTGCGGAAAATACAACTTTGAATAAATGAATAATACGTTTATATAAAAACCTGTAATTATAATTTTCTACGTGATTTGTTTTTGGCAGAAGTCGAGCAAGAATCTGCCCCAGAAGAAACGCTGAAACTTTATTATTATTACGGCACTAAAATAGATCTTTCTGATGTTTTTGTCGTGGCATTTCTCTGTTTTTGAACTTTATTAAAAAAAGAAAACATGGAACTTCATCTGCGTTTGGTTTCGCTCAGAGTTAAGTTTAAATATGTGGTGAAAAACTGTTTAATAACACAAGTTGACAGCCAAAAAATGGTCAGGGGTTTCTCAGACTAATGTTGTTGTTCTGAGTCTGAATATCACATGCATTTGTCTCTATCAGGTCAACTGTGTGAGATACAGCCATAGTGTTACGGATTACGTCTACGTTATTATGAATTCTGCTTATCAAATTTGATGGAGTAAAAAAAAACTGAATGACTTTGGATACGTTGACTTTTATTTGAGGAAAACGGAAAAAACGACAAGGGTTTCTCAGCTGATGATCCACAGAAATTTGTTTTTTTACGCAAAATCGATTAAAAAAAATATTTCTGTAGCAAAAAATGACCTGACCTGATTGAGCAAAACCAAGGTCATTTTCAGACTCAGAGCATCAACATTAGTCTTCCCTAACCCTTCTGATTCAGCTGAAAAACCCTGGACTATTTTCAAAACATATTTGTTTGTTATCAGTGTTATTACTGAATATTTCTGAAAATGTCCCTTTCCTCCTGAAACAGACACATATTTTTATATTGACTTTCAGCAGTTTCTCTGTTTAATACTTCCATAGTTGTATTTTCATGTTTTGGGATTAGAACAGAAAACTTTGAGTTACGTTTATATTTTGACGACTTTGAGTTATTTTGGTGAATGTGCAGAAACAGTGAATTTAACAATAATATGTTTTGTTTCTTGATCGAGAAACACATTTGGATTTCTATTCTTTGAAGTGATACGTTGAGTTTTGATATTATTTTATTTGTTACGATGAAGTTTATTTGTGAGTTTATATAATAATAATAATAATAATAATGTGTGGTTAAAGAACACGCTGCAGAAACATCTTTGAGGTTTTTTCTTTTTTCCAAATAAATCCAGACATTTAGAGAAAAACTGTTTTTTAAATGAACACGTTTGTTATTTATAATTGTTTTATAATTTCAGGATTAACTTCCAATTTCTTTGCTTTGTTAAATTTTGAATGGACGATTTTCTAAGAACTAAAAATAAAAATCTAATTGTAGAAATTCAAATTCAAAATTAATTAAAACATTTTTTGAAACATTTTAGATTTTAAATAAATGTAAAAATAACAATAAAAAGAATATAATATTATTGGTCCAGCTTTAATGTCGTCCGTGTCTGAGACGTGTCTGATCCTGATTTATCAGTCCATCTGTGGGTGTGGGGGGTCACTGCTGCTGCAGGTGGGACGTCTGTGGGTGTGGGGGTCACTGCTGCTGCAGGTGGGACGTCTGTGGGAGTGGAGGGGTTTGTGAGGAGTAGAACCCACAACCTCTATACCCCGAAGCCACTGTCACCCCCAAAACCACTGTTCAACAAGTAACTACTTCTGCAAAAGAGAATCGAACACAGAGCCACTGGTCCAGGAGGAGCAGACCCCAACGTCCAGAATGTTTATCAATGTCACTTTTCTGTTCCCATTTCCTTCATCTACATTCTACACATGAATCCAGTTACAATGTTGCATGTGTATTTACAGTATTAATATTTGAAAGTATACTGTTCTGTACGTGCGTGTATACCTTATCTAAAAATATTAAAAGTAGTAGCAACATACTCTGTTATACTGAGAGACATTAAAGTGGGATAGAGAGAGGAGAAATGTGAAAATAATAAATAATAATAAAAACAGAAAAAGAGTCAACTTGATAAAAAAAAAAACGTTTATTTTTGTTCACATTTTTGTTCTATGTTTTCTTGAGTCACAGACACATAAAGAATTTCAGTTCAGTAAATTCACTTTTGTATAGACATTTACATCCCACCACTGCGATATAAGCAATGGTAAAATTCTGTAGTCTCCTCCCACTGTCCCTGACTCAGGTTGCCAGATAAGCAGCGTTAGCAGCAACAGACACTGGGGATTTTCAAAGAGAGAGTTATTCTTATTATTATAATAAAAACACCAACACAGCCGTCAGTTTGGACTCAAGCGACTCAAAGAATAAAAGAGAGAGATGTTTGTCTGGAGCCGGAGAAAACGTCGTCTTCTCGGATTAACCCACGGAGCCCAGACTCTGCCACAGACTGAAGGACGAGATGTTCTGGTCCAGAGGTTTCTAAGACATTTTAAACACAGTCGCTGTAATGTTGGTGAGAAAGTTAGCTTCTGTCTCAGTCACCGACGGTTACGGTGGAACACAGGCCGAGCCGCGAGCTCCAGGTGGAAACGTGAGATAAAGACATTTAAGAAGAGAATCTGACTGAATCTGAATCTGAAATGATGACTGTAGTTTTGTCCATTCAATCAGGTTCCCAAGGGCTTTCAGCGAGAGATATCTTTATTTATCTTTCACACATTTTTATCTTTTATACATTTATAGTAGAAACTAAAGGTCCTATTCTCAGGCTCCACCCATTGGAACGAAAATACAGTATTATCCACACATTTATATTTCATTAAATTTGGTGTGGCTTTCATTCAGTCATTTTTATTCTCTACATGCAAAGTTTTCCATCTGCATCTGGATCAGGGGCCCCCAGACCTTCTGCGCCGGGGCCACACCAGACTCCAGACACTGACGACCCAGATTTTAAAATGGTTTAAAACGGTTCGGGCCGTTCTGTGCTAGGTCTGTTTAAAGGAGCAGTTTGTAAACATGTGGCCAAAAGTGGTACTGCAGCCTCTCCCACTCTCCCTGACTCAGGTTGCCAGATATGCAGACGAATCCAGCTGGGACCATAACAGCTGAATAGACAAGAGTTTTGTCAACAACAAATCTATAACCAACACCTTTTTCACAAAGATAGAAATCCTGGTTTTATTCCTTGTTTTGTCGTTAATGATTTGAGAATCATAACGAGACCTTTTTTAGTTCTGCGCCACATGGTACTTTACCAGTGAGATTAGCTCCACGCGGTGAGTTCTGGCGCCCGGATCACGGACTTTCTGATTGGTGAAACGGTGGAGGGCGGGACATCGAAATGAAAACAATAACAAGATTTAGAGACTGGAAAAGTAATTTAGAAATTCAAAATTGGGAAAAATTTGTGGAGAGAATTTACTTAATTTACTACTGCTGCAGACTCAGAGGAGCACAGGGACTGGCCTCCTGCTGGGACTCTGAGGAGCACAGGGACTGGCCTCCTGCTGGGACTCTGAGGAGCACAGGGACCGGCCTCCTGCTGGGACTCTGAGGAGCACAGGGACTGGCCTCCTGCTAGGACTCTGAGGAGCACAGGGACTGGCCTCCTGCTGGGACTCTGAGGAGCACAGGGACTGGCCTCCTGCTGGGACTCTGAGGAGCACAGGGACTGGTCTCCTGCTGGGACTCTGAGGAGCACAGGGACTGGCCTCCTGCTGCAGACTCTGAGGAGCACAGGGACTGGCCTCCTGCTGGGACTCTGAGGAGCACAGGGACTGGCCTCCTGCTGCAGACTCAGAGGAGCACAGGGACTGACCTCCTGCTGGGACTCTGAGGAGCACAGGGACTGGCCTCCTGCTGGGACTCTGAGGAGCACAGGGACTGGCCTCCTGCTGGGACTCTGAGGAGCACAGGGACTGGCCTCCTGCTGAGACTCTGAGGAGCACAGGGACTGGCCTCCTGCTGAGACTCTGAGGAGCACAGGGACTGGCCTCCTGCTGGTCCTAGACTCAGGACTAAACATAAAGCGTTTGAGATTTATGCTAAAAATTGGAACAGTCTTCCTGAAAATGTGAGACAGACTTCTTCTCTGACAATGTTCAAATCCAGGTTAAAAACAGTTTTGTTTAAATGTTCTGTGATTATTTATGGTTTTTATGCCTTGTGTGATTGTTTCTGTCTTGTTTTGTTACTCCACTCTACTCTACTCTACGGTCCTTCTTTGGTCCCTCTTGGTCCTGGTTCTCTCCAGGCCGAGCTGGTACTAAAGTGTTCTAAGCCATAGTGCTGCTGGAAGCCATGGTTGCCAAGGAATTTCCCTGGGTACTGGTTTGTTGTGGGTCAGTTGCTAGGATACGATACCAGATACTAAAGCGTAATGGAAACGTAACCAGGACAGGGCCAAGTAGGGCCGGTGGAAACATGGCCCTGAGAGCCAGAAATAGACGATAATACTGTCCTTGTTTGTTGCCGTGGCGACGTCTTTTCTCTGTTTAGGTAATAATTCTTGGTGAGTCTTGGTAAAGTGCGGGCCCTGTACCTTTGGCCTTGAGCGACCAATTTAGTTTTACTTACAACAATATCTGGAAAATCTCGGTCTGACATCCCTGACCTGTCAGACTGTACAATGAGTCACTCACTGACGACCTGCAACTTTTCTCTTCCATCGTCACTTTTAATTGAAAGAAACCCTTGTTCTTTAGCTTTTTCACACATTTTTGCAGATTTCCGGTCTTTTAAGATTAAGATGAAGAGATTCTTTATTAGTCTGGGGAAATGTCAGTGTTGCATTCCAAGGTTTCACCACAGTGGGAATGAGGAGCACACAGCACAAGATAAATGAACAATAACTCTATAATAAAATAAAATACAATCTCTAGCTTTAGCTTATTAAAGAAGCTAGCATAAAATCTCTAGCTTTAGCATAATAAAGAAGCTAGCATAAAATCTCTAGCTTTAGCATAATAAAGAAGCTAGCATAAAATCTCTAGCTTTAGCATATTAAAGAAGCTATCATAAAATCTCTAGCTTTAGCATAATAAAGAAGCAAGTCTAACATGTTTTGATCCTATTGATGCCAAATATAACAAGTACCTTTTTCTGCTCTGGCCTAAACCATATTTAAAAATGGTAATTATTTGTGATTTGTGTTGTCGAAATGTGATACTAACCTGAAGTCTTGTGTGCGCAGACGTGGTGGCGCACCAGCACGACGGCTCGCCATTCCGCCGCGGCCGCAAGAAGCGCATCCCGTACACCAAGGCGCAGCTGAAGGAGCTGGAGAAGGAGTACGGCGCCAACAAGTTCATCACCAAAGACAAGCGCCGCAAGATCTCCGCCGTCACCGGCCTCTCCGAGCGCCAGATCACCATCTGGTTCCAGAACCGCCGCGTCAAGGAGAAGAAGTTCGTGGCCAAAGTGAAGACCAGCGCCCCCTAGTGCTGCGGAGGCCTGTGGGAGACCAGGGGAGTCCAAACTGCAGCTCCCCTGTAGAACCAACAGAGGGCGTTAGCAAGAACTTTTACCTCCAGAACCGAAGCAGACTGTGAGGGGGCGGGGCTTCGCAGATCCAGACACTACTATTATCCCTCTATTTTCTTCCGCTTTATCCTGCAGCTCATCTGGAGGAATCCTGAGGCGTCCCGGGCCTCAGGGACACAGTTCCTCTGGGTCCTGGGTCCTCCTCTGGTCTCCTCCCTCCGGTCCTGGGTCTTCCTCTGGTCTCCTCCCGGTGGGACAGGCCCAGAGTCCAGGAGGGATCCCAAACACACGCCTGAGCCAACTCCACCGCCTCCTTATACATGGAGGAGCAGCGTCTCTACACCGAGCGCTTGTATCTGCGATCTCGTCCTTTCGGCCCTTACTCAAAGATCATGAGTGTGAGGGAGGGGACGTAGACTCAGCGGTAAATCCAGAGCTTTGACTGAAGACGCTGCTCCCTCTTCACCGCAACAGTCAAATACAGCTTTGACGGCAGACGCTGCTCCAATCCACTTGAGGAAGAACCTGGAGCAGACGAGGCACCATCAGAGAACACACACATTGGAGAAGAATCAGTCCGATATTAACATTAGAAAACTGGATGAAGCAACGGCAGCTTAAAAGAATAAAACAAACGGTGCCTTTTTGAACTAAGTGCAGCTTTACCACCAACGTACGGCCCTCCCCTTGGTCTGTGTCAAAGCCCTGTGTCAAAGATCACAAGTTTGGACACCCCTTAAAGAAGTTCGGACACCCCTGTTTAGTCGCGTTGCGTTTGCAGTTCTAAATACTGGCCATATATTCAGTTTAGCCCCAGAATAAGTTAGTTAGGTAGATAGTTTTGTTCAGATTACATGTTTTCAAAAGTGAGTATTTGCCTTAAACGACATCATCAAAATGGAAGATTTTATTGCTATAACATTTTATCATCATCAAAAACAGACCTGGAGTTATTCTGGAAGTTTCCACACACACAAACTTGTCTCCTTCCTCTCGAGTCGATTAAACTAATCTCAATCTGGAGAGACTCAAACAGACAAAATGGGGTGTAAGAATTGTATTTATTGGTTGCCATGGTGATCTGTAAATACATAAATCAGCACATGGTGGGTCTCTACGGGTTAAAGCTGCACTAACTGACTTTATTTTTGTATTCATTACGAAAATGCTATCCATGTCCGTGTAGGGCTTTGGGATATACGTCCTTTTGAAGAAAAAGTAGCGCAGATTTGTGCTGGCGTAACATTATATTTTAGATCGAGTTTTGATGAAACAAGGAAGAGAATGTGTTTCGGGTCGCAGATTGTGACCAATCGCCGCGCACCACTAGCCCCCACTTTCGTAAGAAATCTACAGGTCTCCGTTAGCATAGACGGCTGAGTTAGCACAACAAGCCGAGGAGCTAACCTGAAGCTTCGTCTCTTCGTCACCGGTTACTGCTTACACAGCAAGACAGCCATCCAAAAGAAAGTCTCGTTCCTCCGCTCTTCCCGGTTCTATCGTTCTATGGTCACGCCATCCACGTGCAAATCCATATCCATGTATTATCCATATTGGGAGACGCTAACTCCGTCCCAACAGTGAGTGTGTGTGGGGGGCGATAGCTTCGTGGGTGCGAGGAGGGGAGGAGAAAGAGAGAGGCCAGCGAGTCCACGGCTTCAAAATCCCAAAGTCAGTTAGTGCAGCTTTAAAGAGCTGGTCTGGCTGATGCTGCGGTGATGGGGAGGAGGAGGGTTGCTGCACAAATGCTTTAATGCAGCCAGCTGAGTGACTGGTTGCTGATGGGGCAAGTGTCTTGCCAAGGACACAAACGGATTGGTACTACAGCTGCAACCTTGTGTGTCACCTGGTGTTCCCACAGGTCTCCCATCACAGAACTACCCCGCGCTGCTTAGCTTCAGAGGTCTGACAGGATCTGGCTCTCACCTGCAGGTGGCGCCACTGCGTGATAAACGTCAAAGGCAAATTCTTTCTTTTGAAATATCAAACTGTGATAAAAAAAAAGGACCCATTTTATCAAAACCGCAAAATGTCAAAACCGATTTATGTTTCTGTTTATTGTGGGTTAAAGAAGAAGAATGTCGTCAGTATTTCAGACTCGGACTCGGTCGTCTCCCGCGGTCTCTGCTCAGACTCTGAAACTGTACAGCTCTGTGTCCTGTTTGTTTGTGTCTGTAGCCATAGCAACCCTATATGCTGTATGTGTTCATTGCGCCTGTAAACGTGAGTATAGTGTATCACTTATTCAATAAACGCTCTTATCCTCAGCCCGAGCACCGTGGCCTCTGTCCGAGCTGCCGATTCTCCAGCACAGATCAGAGAATCAGACTCTTCTACAGGAAACGCAGTGATGAAAAACACATCCATGAGAGGCTCGCAATGTCTATTTGTGCGAGTCTTTGTGTGTCTGTGTGTCTTTGTCTGTGTGCGTCTGTGTGTGTGTGTGTGTGCGTCTGTGTCTGTGTGTGTTTGTGTGCGTTTGTGTGTCTTTGTGTGTGTGCGTCTGTTTGTGTCCGTGTTTGTGTGTGTGCATCTGTGTGTGTCTGTGTGTGTGTGCGTCTGTGTGTCTTTGTGTGTGTGTGTGTGCGTCTGTGTGTGTGTTTGTGTGCGTTTGTGTGTCTTTGTGTGTGTGCGTCTGTGTCTGTTTGTGTCCGTGTTTGTGTGTGTGCATCTGTGTGTGTCTGTGTGCGTCTGTGTGTCTTTGTGTGTGCGCGTCTGTGTCTGTGTGTGTGTGCGTTTGTGTGTCTTTGTGCGTGTGCGTCTGTGTGCGTCTGTGTGTGTGTGCGTCTGTGTCTGTGTGTGTTTGTGTGCGTTTGTGTATCTTTGTGTGTGTGCGTCTGTGTCTGTTTGTGTCCGTGTTTATGTGTGTGCATCTGTGTGTGTCTGTGTGCGTCTGTGTGTGTGTGCGTTTGTGTGTCTTTGTGTGTGTGCATCTGTGTGTGTGTGCGTCTGTGTCTGTTTGTGTGTGTGCATCTGTGTGTGTCTGTCCATGCGTGTCGGTGTGTGTGTCTGTGTCTACGTGTGCGTTTGTGTGAGCCCATGTGTGTGTCTGTGTGTGTGTGTCTATGTGTGAGTCTGTGTGTGTCCATGCCTGTGTTTGTGTGTGCGTCGGTGTATGTGTCTACGTGTATTTGTGAGCCCATGTATGTGTGTCTGTCCATGTGTATCCGTGTGTGTGTGTGTCTGTCTACGTGTGTGTGTCTGTGTGTGATTCTGTGTGTGCGTGTGTCATTGCCTGTGTATGTGTCTGCGTGTTTGTTTGAGCCCATGTGTGTGACTGTGTTTGTGTCTATGTGTTCATGCCTGTGTATGTGTGTGCGTCCGTGTGTGTGTCTATGTGTTTGTGGGAGCCCATGTACTGTATGTGTGTCTGTGTTTGTGTGTGTATGCGTCTGTGTCCATGTGTGCGCTTGCGTCTGTGTTTGTGTGTGTGTGTCTATGTGTGCGCATCTGTGTGTGTGCGTCCGTGTCGACGTGTGCGTTTGTGTGAGCCCATGTGTGTGTCTATGTGTGTGTGTGTGTGTGCGTGTCCATGCTTGTGTATGTGTCTGCGTGTTTGTGGGAGCCCATGTATGTGTGTCTGTGTTTGTGTCTACTGTATATGTGTGTCTGTGTGTGCGCTTGCGTCTGTGTTTGTGTATCTGTGTATGCGCATCTGTGTGTGTGCGTCCGTGTGTCTGTGTGTCTGTCTTTGTGTGTGGTCGTAAATGTCAGAGGTCAGGGCCCACTCCCAGCCGAGGAGTGGTCTCTCTCTCTCGGGTCGGACCAGAACGGCCCCAAAGTCACATTTACGAATAAAGTCAAACCCTCTCCGACCCTACACCTCCCTCACACTCTGATGAAGGTTGTGTCGCTTTAGATTCCATTTTAGATCAGTGCCTCAACTCAACAACTCATGATGGGACCGGACCAAACAAAACGCAAAGAAAACAGGTGAAAAATCATCTCAATATTGACAAAAATACCAAAAATATAACAAATATTTGGGGCCGACCTGAACCAAGAACAAGCTAAAGAAGAAAGAACACACACCAAGAACTGAGAAGGGCCTTAAAAACAAGAGAAATACAAATTAAAAAACTAAAACACCAAAGAAATACTAAACTGAAGTGAAATTATAACTGTCCCTTTCCCTCCTGTGTCTCTGTCTCTCCCCCCTCTGAGTCTGGGACCAGTGGACTCTCCCGCTGTACAAAATGGCCGCCAGTCTTGTCCCTCGGCTTGACCATGGATCTATTATACTAACTGGATAGGGTATTGCTAGTTTATAGCTGAAGAACCATGTGCTCGGGGGATTCTCGCGGTACTGCAGACTAAACCAGACTAAATTCACGTGGGCTACCCAGACACTTTCCTCATAGAACTCAATGTAAATTAAAACAGCTCAACCTCAGCTGACAGAGAACCTGACAGAGAACCTGACAGAGAACCTGACAGAGAACCTGACAGAGAACCTGACAGAGAACCTGACAGAAAACCTGACAGAGAACCTGACAGAGAACCTGACAGAGAACTTGACAGAGAACCTGACAGAGAACCTACAAAGAACCTACAGAGAACCTGACAGAGAACCTACAAAGAACCTACAGAGAACCTGACAGAGAACCTGACAGAGAACCTGACAGAGAACCTGACAGAGAACCTGACAGAGAACCTACAAAGAACCTACAGAGAACCTGACAGAGAACCTGACAGAGAACCTGACAGAGAACCTGACAGAGAACCTACAGAGAACCTACAGAGAACCTGACAGAGAACCTGACAGAGAACCTACAAAGAACCTACAGAGAACCTACAGAGAACCTGACAGAGAACCTACAGAGAACCTGACAGAGAACCTACAGAGAACCTGACAGAGAACCTACAGCTTTCATAAAGGTCAGATTTTGTGGGGATTTTAGTGTCCCTTGTCTGGTTCTCGCTCTAACTCCCGCTCTGATGAACTGCTCTGATTGGTC